GGCTTCTTTATTATATGGCACCAAATTCAAAATGATGAATTTTTTAAATGTTGCTAAGAAGTCAGCCATTCACATATAATCCAAGCACTAGAGAGGCTGATGCAAGAGGATCGCTGTGAATTCTAGGCAACCCGGTTGCATAGTGAATTCCAGGTTAAGCTACAGTTTCAGACTCTGTCTCAGAACAACAGTTGCCAAGAAAATGAAGATAAGGAAGAGGGAAAGAAGAGGAAAGGGAGAGTAAGCATGGAAGAGAAGAGGAGAGAGCAAGCAAGAAGAAAGGAAATTTGAGGTACAGGATCACTTCCATTAATCCATCACAAGGAAATCTTCAAATGGGGAGAACTACCTTCATGGTTCCAGCTTTGCAAAACCAGCTGGCAAGAGCCTACAGCATTCCTGTCCTGGCTTAGCTTTCTGGAAATTAGATGGTGTGATCACCAGATCGAGAGTCCCATCTAACAGGTGCATTCTTGGAATTGATTCGGGTAATCTACTGTTAGAAGCACCTGTCCTGCAGAACAGATAGGCTAATAGACTTGCTCCTCCCTGGAGCATTTAAGAATGTGAACTCCTGGAGGTGAGAGGCCCATCCCATCATTACCTACAAAATGAACTTCAAATGTAGATGGAGTAAGCCCTCTGTCTCTATGAGACCCTGTGCACGGGTGGTGGCTAACAGGATTGCCCTGAAAACCACATTCATGGAGGCGTTAAAGCATGTCAGCCAGAGGAAAGGAGAGCTGAGAATATAGATCAGTGTGAGAACGCATGATTCACAGGCACCAGGTCTAAGCTGATCCCCAGTATAAAAAACTAAAATTGAAAAGCGGGGATTTCTGGTTATTCACATAACTTAGCTCTTGGCTCAAAGCTTCTACTGTGTCATCCCCTAAGCAGAAACACTCAATGCTTCCACTAGTCTACCAAAGGCGTCTTCTTTTCCTAGTCTGCCATCCAAACATCTCTGTCACTCACCTAGAAAGATCCTCTTAGCCACCTGTCCACCTCCTCCATAGACAGGCTGCCCTGCTGATGGTTCCCTACAGAAAGCATAGGTCCTTCCGGTTTAAAACTAGTCTTCAAGTTTAGCCCTCTGTCTCAGTCCCTCCATGCTACTATACTGAGAAACTTACAGAAATGCATTTGTCTTAGTTAGGTTTCTATTGCTGTGACAAAACACCATGATGAAAAAGCAAGTTGGGGAGGAAAGGGTTCATTTGGCTTACACTTCAGCATTGCTGTTCATCACTGAAGGAAGTCAGGACAGGAACTCAAACAGGACAAGAACCTGGAGGCAGGAGCTGATGCAGAGGCCATGGAGGGAAGCTGTTTACTGGCTTCCTTCCCATGGCTTGCTCAGCCCACCTTCTTATAGAACCCAAGACCAGAAGCCCAGGGATGGCAACCCCACCATGGGCTTGGCTTTCCACCATTGATCACTAAATGAGAAAATGTCTTGCCTCTGGATCTCATGGAGGCATTCTCTCAACTGAGGCTCCTTCCTGTGATGACTCTAGCTTGTGTCAAGTTGACACAAAACCAGCCAGTACAGTATTACTTTTTTTTTTAACTCTTTAGACTAGACAGTCGAAAATCAAGTGGGCAGCAGATTTGATGTCTGCTGAGCTCCTGTAGCCTAACAGAGCTGGAGATTCCATAGCCCCTTCAGTAAAGCACAAATCCCGTGCATTCTGGAACTCTTGGGATGCTATCACCACCCAAAGCCACACACTTCCCACAGTATTCTGAATTGTTTCAATATAAGGACTGGAGAGGAGGGTGGTGCATATTGAGACCATAATTTGATCTTTCGAAGTCCTACTCTTTCTCTATCCCAGATTAAAAGGCTGCCCATGATGAGGGCAAGGTCCTGTGAATCTTTATAGTTATAATTTTATTTTCATAATTATTAAAAACTGATGGATGTCCCCCAGGGCTTACCCCTTCCACTCAGGCCTCGGTTGGTCATTAGCCTCCTGCAGGCTACATGGTTTGTTTCCTGGTGGCGATTTGCTTTAGTGCTTTTTGAGATAGGGTGTCACACAGCCCAAGTTGGTCCCTACTTTCTCACTGTATCTGAGGATGACCTTCACTTCCTGATCATTCTTCTACCTTCTGAGTGCCGAAATTACAGGCATGTGCCACCAGGTCCCTTTTGTGCAATGCTGAGGATCAAACTAAGTTTTAATCATGCTAGATGAGCATTCTACCAACAATGTTTCATCCCCAGTTCCCAAGAACCACATATACAATAGACTCAAAGTCTTCAGGTTGGCTTACATATAATAAAAGATAGAAATTGAAGGGTGCTGTTGCCATGATGGCTAATGTCCTTGCTATTGATAAACACTTCACTTAGAGTAATTAGGCATGCTGTTCCATTCCTCTAATCCCAGCATTCAGGAGGCAGAGGCAGGAGGATCATGAGTTGAACACCAGCCTGCTACATAGGAAGTTCAAGGCCAGCCTTCAGTGCATATCAGACCTTATGTTAAAGAAATACTTTCACTTAATGTAACCAAACACAACACTTTCCAAAGACAGCTGTTAAGAGTACTTGTGGCTCTTGCAAGGGACCTGAGTTCAGTTCCCAGCACCCATATAATAGCTCACTACTATCTGTAACTTAAGTTTCAGGGGATCCAGTGCCTTCTTCTGACTTCTGCCAGCACTAGCACACACATGGTAAACACACAGATGTGTAGTAAAAGCATTCATACACATGAAATTAAAATAAATAAGTCTTTCCAAAGATATTTGGCCCATAGCTAGTACTTATGACTAATGCTGATTGAATGAAAAATCATACTTTAGAAATTGGCTTAAGTGAAAGAATTCCTCTGCCAAGAAGCCACCTGTTTCCGCAAAGGTTTATCCCAAATATTCATCCCAGGGCCCAAGATAAATCTATGTATTTGCTATCACAGCCTCCCTCAACCTGCACCTGCTCTGACCTGCACCTGCTCCAGCCTGCACCTGCTTACATGGTCAACTAACTAACATGAAGCATCTCCAAAGGGATAAATGAAAAAGCGAGGCAAAGGCTGGGGATGTGACTCAGTAGCAGAGTAGAGCACTTGCTTAGCATACACAAGGCCATGCCTTCCACCCCCACCCCTGCCGATCTTCAAAACAAAACAAAAGCAAAAAAACATATGGTGAAGTGAAAGACAGGGAGCATGAAGAAGTGGGCAAGCAGTCTGGAGTGAGGGACTTAGAAACCTGCAGAGAAGGTCATCTCTGATGTCAACATGGGAAAAAGGAATGACGCTCTCGCAGGACACTGGATGAACATGCAGGACACTACGCTGAGTGAAATAAGCCAAGAAGAGACAGAGAGAAATCCAGAACTACCTGACCTCACTTACAGGTGGAATGCATGATGTGGAGCTCACAGAAGTGGAGTGGAGGTTGTTGGGCTGGGATTTGTCAAGCGTGGAAATATTTGTCAAAAGGTCCAGAGTTTCCATTATAAACTAGGTGTAAGTTAGCATATGAGCCTAGTACTGGGAAGGATGAAGCAAGAGAACTTCCATGAGTGTGAGGCCATGCCTTTTCAACCCCTGCCCACCCTGTCTCCCCCAAAAAGAGTACTAAGCCCTGGAGAATCTCATACACAGCCTGGTAAGTATAGCCAATACTTTAAACTTGCTAAAAAGTGCTAAAACTAACACAGTACACACACAACAGGAGAAACTAGGTAAGGCGATACATATGTTAACTAATTCCATAGTTGTGTGTACTTGAATTAAATCACCATACTGTAAACCTAAACTGTCTGCAATTTTATTCTGGCACTCAGAAGACTGAGGCAGGAGGATTGCCATGAGTTGGAGGTCAGCCAAGGCCCCCCAAAATAAAATAAAACAAAAAGTATTCAATTTCATTTGTCAAGTATACATCAGTAAAGCTGTAAAGAAATGGAATAGCCAATGAAGAGTTTGAAGAGTTTGGAAAAATCCAGGTATGATGGCACATTCCTTTAATCCCAGCACCTAGGAGGCAGAAGCCCACACAGATTCTCTGAGTTCAAAGCCAACCTGGTTTACATAGAGAAAGGGAGGGAGGAGTTTGGAAAGAGTAAAATTATCCTAACAGAGGATGGGGTGGGGAGATAAATTATTATACCTTTTCCACACATATTATTTCTCTAGTCCAACTGCCAGTTACTTCTGCTGACCTTTCTTCTCTAGTCCTGTTTTGTTTTGTTTAAATTACAGCATCTGTGTAGAAGAGTAAAGACTAACAAATAATCTCTGAATTTAAATACACCTGTCTTTCCCCCCCCTCGACTGTATTGCTGGGGATCGAACCAGGAAATTTATATATTCTAGGGATGTACTCTGCAGCTGAGCCACACACAACCCAGGCTCATCTGTTTTTGTTGTTGTTTTGAGTAACTGGTAGGTGGGGATGACCTTGAACTTCTGATATTCTGCCTCTACCTCTCATAGGCTGGGATTTCAGGTCTGTGCCACCCCACCCACCTCCCACGCATATTTTTATTATAAATAAGTAAATAAATCTGTCAAGAGGAGGGTTGAAAGAAGAGGGAGTTGGTGGAGCTGGGAATGAGGAGAGGTGACATTGTGGGAAAGGGCCAGAAACTGAGCTTGCCTAGAATGTGGGCCACATCAAAGTGAGTCAGGGAGAGAGAAAAGGAACGGCATTGGGTGCCATTTTAACTCCTGGGTGCAGCCCAGCGAACCTATATTCCCAGCACTTGAGGAGGCTGAGGCACCAGGACAGATAGTTTGAGACCAATGTGGGCTACATATTGAGACTTTGAAAAAAAACCAACAAATACAAACATTATTTAACATTTGAAAAAAAAATAGGAGTCTGGACTTTGAAGACCACCAGGGGACCCAAGAGGTTCTCAGTGGCACCATTGTACGTGAGTTGTATCAGCAGCATTTAGAAGGGACTTGTCTTAGGCCATTCATGTGCTTATATGAAATACCACAGACTCGATGACTTCTAAACACAGAATTTACCTGCTTGGGTCTGGAGGCAGAACAGTTCATGAGGAAGATCCAGCAAGTTTGCTGTCTGCTAAGATCAGTGGCCTGATTCACAGAGTGCACCTTTTTGCTTAGTCCTTGCCTGGACTCAAGAAGAAACTCCGCCCCCTCACTAGACACTGACATCATAGAAGAAACCTCAAGACCTAACCACCTCCCCAGGTCCCACTTCCCCACACTATCATGCTAGGAGTTAGGGTTTCAGAGTGTGAACTGGGGTACGGTGGAACCTTCAGACATGGCAAGGGGGAAACCCCGTGGAAGGGAAAGAGCCGCTGGACTGGGGCAGTAATTCAGGTGAAAGGTGAGAAGCTGTGAGTTCCGCAAGTAGGAGGAAGGAGGAAGAACACAGGTCTGAGAACCCCATCTGAGAGCCGCCCGCCCATACACCGGAGCTTATCTCCCAGTGAAATCCTGTGATTCATGGGATGCAGAGGCTGGTGGTGAATAAGGATGATGCCGAGGCTTCTGGCCAGAGCCTGCACAGCTGGTGACAGCATTCTTCAGGAAGAGGGGGCAGGGGGACGGCCCGCTGGGTCAGGGAAGGACACCATGGCCTTCCGTTGGGAGACACAACAGACTGGAGGTGTGGGTAGCATCTTGGGAGTAGATGACAAAAGGGATGTCACAATTGCTGGTGCTGTCTAAATGGATGAAATCATCCTAGGAGAATGGGCAGAGAAGAGGAGAGAGAGAGAGAGAGATCCTCTGTATAGAAACTCACGTGTGGAGAGGAGCAGATCCAACGGTACTTTCAGAGAGGATGATTTTATGTTTAAGAGGACATGGACCTGTCCATTGGCTAAGAGAAACAAGCTAACAGAGGCACGGCAATAGATTGTTCAGGAGCAATAGAGTGTTCAGAAAAGAGTGCTGGAACAGGATGGCAGTAGCAGGCTGAGCGCTCTTTCCATCGGAGGAAAGCCGGAAACTGACTGAGGAGTAACAGCACGCCTAACCCAGGATGAAATTAGGGATACTCGATCATCATCCTAAAAGTCTCCGTGTCCTCTGTGAAGAGGGGAGTGGAGCAAGCTGTGAGGAGGCAAGTCAAGTATGGAGTCGTGGGAGTTGGATTCTGGAAGACGCAGGCTGGAGTGAGGGAAAGGCCGAGAGGTGAGGAATCGGGAGAGAGACCAGCTTGCTTGGTCATTTCCTCCTTAGCATGAACTGCTGCTGGTCTGCGAGAGCTGCTGCGCCCAAGAGAGGGTGGGGGCCTCTGAGAGCCTGGAAGGGTTTGAGGTGCTCTGTTGCTTCATCACTGAACATCTGAGCTGCCTGGAAAAGGACCAGAGGACTGTGGGTGACAGCCAGAGTGGTGATGGATGGTGGCCCCGCCTATCTGCCATCTCCCGGCTCCTTCCTCCTTCCCTGCTCTAACCAGGAAGGTGACCAAGGCTGGAACTTGCCCTGGGTGGAGGAGAGAGCTGCCTTTTTCACACCTTCCTGCAATCCCAGGCTACCTTTCCTCCTTCCTCCTCTGCCTGGCTGCCATACCCAGTTCCCATCAGTTCGGGGACGTGATTATCAGGAGAAATGGCAGAAAGTGCCTCACTATGATGGAAAGCGTGACTCAGTGCCTCCGGACGTTGCTGTTTGGAACCTTCCATGATTATAGTTAACAGTATCTCAGACCCTGGACCAAATATTCTGCCTGCTTTCACTCACTCATTTTCTAAGCATCTCTCTATGATGAGCAGCACAGCTTGCATGGAATAGATACTGCCATGATGCAGCCTGTTTGACAGGTGACAAAACAGTCACAGAGACCCAACCCGCCCTTTTTTTTTTTTTTTCTTCTGAGACAGGGTTTCTCTGTGTAGCTTTGCGCCTTTCCTGGAACTCTATTTGTAGACCAGGCTGGCCTCGAACTCACAGAGATCCGCCTGCCTCTGCCTCCCGAGTGCTGGGATTAAAGGCGTGGGCCACCACCGCCCCGGCAGACCCGCCCCTTTTTAATCAGCCTTCCAATAAGACACTTTAATCTAGTGAAAACCCCAGACCTCCTTCTGGAAAAGGCCTTGGACATGGTGTATTCTAGCCTCCCACATGAAGCGGGTATCATTCTGTAGAACAATCCAGGACTCAACCGGCAGCCTGCATTGCTGTATCCATTGAGCATCACTCTAACTGAATCAAGCCCCTGAGGCTTGTTTTCCAGGCAGCCGGGGGAGAAAACACAGCTGTGAAGGGAGCAAGCCCCACAGCTCTCCCAGCATATGCAAGTCCTCACTGGGGTGAGCAAGAGAAGGGCCATTTCCCCCTCACCTGACCAGGAAGAAAGACAACACCAGACCCATGGCTCCAGTGGGGTCCTGGAAAATGGCTCTTAGGCTCTGACTCCAAGAAACCATACAGACAGTTTGTCAGCCTTAAACCACCCAGTGGGAGGACACTGCCATGTTGGGCCCTGGGGACCCCCTTAGGTCAAGTCCAAAACTGTTCAGCAAACATTTGTTTAGATCCAGAAATGGGTACCAGAATAGCCGGCCTGCTGAAGCTCATCTCTGCAGATGGTGACTCACAAATCACTTTGAAAGCACAAGGTACCTCTGGAAACGGCTTCCTCATCCAATCTTAATGAGGCTAGCTGGCTAAATTTCGGGTTTTCCTTCGGGCCGTTAGATGAACTCACCATGGCCTTCCAAGACTGGCTGTTTATCAGCTAGCTGCAACCCTGGAGAAAGCTCAGTGGTCTGTTCCCACTCCCCCACCCACCATATGGGCTGTGCTCACCTGAAGGGATAGGACATTTGCTTGGAGAGACACGGGCAGCACATTTCTATTGCCAAAGCCTCAGCCGTAAGGTAACCAGGGCCATCGCTGGCCTGGAGACCGCTGCCTGGAATACCTGTCTGGAAGCAACAGCTCACCCCTCAGAACCTGCTTATCCAGGCTTCAGGCACCAGCACTGCTGCTCTGGCCTCCTGGGCATGTGTATGGAGAGCAAGCAAGCAGAGACAGGGGCTTTCCTGAGAACTCAGGAAACTATAAATAAAAAAAGGGAAAGGGGGAGCCAAATCTTTTCACACTGAAGGAAGTCAACATATGGAAGAAGTTACTGGAACGAGAAGTGGAAGCAGAGGACATATCGAGTTCAACGTGGATCTTGCCTGGTCGGCCAGAACGAGGCCCAGCGGGACACAGAACGAGAAAGGAAAGTCTGGGCCAGTGTCTCCCTTTTTGTATCCGTCACACACTCATTGATTCAGCAAAAATGTCAGAGAAATTAGGCCCTTGAGGGGTGAGGCAGAAGGATCATGAGTTCAAGGCCAGCCTGGGCTACATCGTGGGACCTTCCCTTTATAAATAATAATACGAGGGCTGGGGAGATGGCACTAGCTGCTCTTCAAGAGGAGTCAGATTTAATTGCCGGCACCCACATGGAGGCTCACAGCCATCTGTAATTCCAATCCCAGGGGATATGACGTCCTTTTGTGGCGGCCTTGAGCACGGCATGGATGTGGTGCACAGACATACATTTGGGTAAAGGCTCATACATGCAATAAAAATAAATAGCCCCCTCCCAAAAATTTGGAAATGTGGTTTAAAAATGAAAACAATGGTATAAGGGCTGGGAATTTAGCTCAGCGGGTAAGAGCATTTGTGCAAACAAGAGGACCTGAGTCCACTCCCCCCACCCCACCCCACCCCACCCCCAGCACCCATGTTGAAGGCTGAGAGTGACTGTACACTCTGTAACCCCAGCACTGTGGAGAGGGCAGGCAGGAGGATTGCTGCCATTTCATGGCCACCAGCCTGGCTGGAAAAACAATTAGATCCAGATTCGGAGAGAAGCTATGTCTCCAGGAAGTAAGGTGGAGAGCGATGAATAAGGATATGGAATGTTCACACACACACACACACACAGAGAGAGAGAGAGAGAGAGAGAGAGAGAGAGTACCTGCTAGGTAGACATTGTGCCAGATTCCAAGGAACAAGGATGAAATGTAGCCTGGTCCCTGTTCTTAAATTTCCCACTGATTAGTATTCCTTTTCATTGCCTAAAGCTTTCTTAGTTTTAGGGTTCTATTAAAATTCTATCACAGGGTACTGGTAAATAACTCAGAAGTTAAGAGCATTGGCTGCCCTTGCAGGGGACCCAGGTACAATTCCCAGCACCCACATAGTAGCTCACAACTGTTTGTTAACTCCAGACCCAGAGGATCTGACACCCTCTTCTAGCCTCTGGGGACACTGCATGAATATGATGCATATACATACATACATACATACCTATAGGTGGAACATCTATGTACATAAAATGGAATTTTTGTAAGCAACAGCCTGGCTTCTAAAAGCAAGCCACATCCACCTGTAGTTTAGAGCCTATTTTTACCGGGTTCAAAGGGATTTGATCACTAGTTAATTGGAAATTTAAGCAAGAGGGTATTAGCCGTGAGCCCCAGCATTTTGTGGGGTAACCTGTATTTTTCTGTAATTTGGGGAACATTAACGTATGAAGGAAAACAACACAATCGACTATCCCCAACATTCTGACTTTCAGCCTATCAAATAAAAAGGAAACTTTTAAATTTGTTATTATATTGTGTGTGTGTGTGTGTGTGTGTGTGTGTGTGTGTGTGTGTGTGTGTGCCATAGCCCTTGTGTGAAAATCAGATGACAACATCAAGGAATCTGGTCTCTCCTCCTACTACATGTGCCCAGATTTGGAAATTAGGTTTTCAGGATTGGCAGCTCGTGCCTTTACCAACTGAGCCATCTCGCTGGACCAAAAAAAAAAAAAGTCAATTATTAAAAATAACCAAAAAACTAAAAACATTTTACCTGTGCATTCCAAATCACAAAAAGTTATCATCATAGTTAAATTTACTATATACAGAAATCCTTTGGGTTTTGAATTTTAGGTTACATTTTGAACTGCCATTATAATATTATATATTTTTAAAAGGTTTTCCATTAACTTGGGGTTTTGTTTTGTTTTAACACACCAAGTGGGAACATGGGGACTGAAACCTCAGACTTAGAGCAAGAAGTAATCAACTACAACACCGAAATTTCCTAAAGTTAGCAAATCTGCCAACCCTGGTGGTTGTGGGCTGTTTCCCACACAGCAGCTCCGCTCCTCAGAGGCCAAAGCCCATATGCCGTGATGCTCAAACCTGCAGAGCCAAGCTGTGTTAAGCAGGACCACCTGGAAAGGTAAAAATGTCAAAAGAATATAAAAAGTAAACTTGAACTCGACATTCTGAATTCAGAAAGAGCAGCACTCGTCTGTTGCTCCATAAAGTGCCCTGCAGGAGGGAGGGGATGGTGTGATGTCACACATGTGCTCTTTAAAACAATGGCCTTCCATGCCTTGGTTTTACCTTTCTCCCCTCCCCTCCCCAACAGCCAGCCAAGATGCCAGCCCTCACGGTGGTAGCACAAGCAGACTTTGTGAGTCTCCAGCCCTCCCCCCCGCCCGCCCCCCCACCCCCCCGAAAGTCCCCGCCCACACACAAGAGCAGCTCCCTGTCAGCAACCTACTATTACTCCCTGCCTGGGCAACTTTGTTTCCATGTTGCTACAGCACGCATAGTTCCCATGGGTGCTAATG